GATTACTAGTTGGAAAAGGGACTTTTAACTAGATGCGTCTGCAGGCGCATCTAGTAATAGTTGAATCGATCGATTATCGGGCGATAAATCGATAGGTGTAACTAGAAAAAATCTAGTAATCGCCCAACTACTAGATTTCCACTGTCGTCACACAGTAGTTGCAATCGAGTAAAAATCTAGTAATCTAGGTGAATCGGGCGATACTAGATTTTTTTTATGCTTGAGCGGTAGAGTATCTGTTTTTTTAGAGAGTACACCTTAGACAAATTTGCTCTTTAGAAACGAATTTTAATTTCACTGTTTAGTCAAACCCGAAAAAAAACCATACAGAACATAAAGATAAATAAAGAAAAAATTTTGTTGAAAAAGAAAAGTTGCGTTCTCTTTTAGTAAAGTTATAACTTTCTTCGAAGTAACATCAGCACATCAACTTCACGCGCACTCCCAGTACTTGCTATAGGCATTATTTTCGTCATAGAGAAAATGAGCTACTGGGTTTAATGATTTAAGTAGCATAATTGCATTAAAATGGGGACGATCTTCTACTTTCAATATAAGAGTCTCAAAAAGCACTTACAAATATAATTTCGGCCCTGTAGTATGAGACGATACTCACCAGTTTTATGACTTGTTGTATAGTTTTTTTATTACGGAGAAAATTAGTCTACGCATCTGATTTTTTCCAAATGAAAATGTTTCTGTTGAGTCAGTTTTTGAAATGGTTACAAATGCGACATGTATTGTAAGAAACGCAAAAAGTAATAATTCACTAGGGCTTTTCTGGACCAACTGCTTCAATTGGAGTAAAATCGGTTTGTTTTTCAAATACTCGTTTTGTAATGAAAATAAAATAATTAATGAAGTAAAAGATGTTAATCTTTCTTTTTTCTAAACATAGTTTATTTGATTCAACAACGCGGCGGGCCATTACATGTTGAGAAGGGTCAAAAGCGAGCAATTAATTATCACACATACTAAAAACATACACTCACATAAATTAAACTCCTTCTCCATTATTGTACAAAGTGTTTTAAAATTTTTCTATTTCCTTCATGCACTTGTAGTGTACAAGTTGAAAGTTAAAATATTAACAGTATGCAGTTCGTTATGATCAACGAAATACATTTAGAGAGTCTACAAAGAAACTTTTAGGATTTTACCCATTTTGGGGTGTGTTTCTGCACCGTCTGCCTCATTAAAGATTTTCTTATACTGTTTCTCTTCGATTTACCCTTAGTATCATTTGCTATTTTTGATTCAACTCAGTGCCACTTCAAAAGATGGAACATAACTCATCATCATTGCCAGCATGTCCAGATTCATACGAATGTTTATTCCAATATTCCGATGCAGATACACATAATTCAAAATATATACATCCCTGTCGTTATTCTGAGTTATGCAGGCATAAAAACGATCATACTCACAGTAATCAATATACACATGAAAAACATAGTGTTCGCCATTGTAAACATGGGGAAAATTGTAGAGATATAATTCAACCTGCTCATCGAAGAGAATTCAGGCATCCAAATTTACCAGATTACCTTATGCCGTGTCGGTTTAAAAATCAATGCCACAATAATTCGAGAGAACACAAGATAAAATATTCACATGGCGAGCTGAACTTGAATCAAAGTAATCAACATTTAATTACCCTCTGTTAATACCAAAGTGTCCCTATAAACTTCAGTTTTAGATTATTCGCCGAAGCTATCAAAAGGGTATAATCCCAATCAGGAAACAAGCAACCAGTCAAATGTGGCTGAGCACTCCTGCTGGTATGGTAAACAATGTCGAAAAATCAACGATCCGAACCACCTTAGCAGGTATCATCACGAAGGCACATACATCTCATCTAAGGGTAGCGCATCAAATACGGACTTCCAGTCAGTATCAAATACTAACACTGCTGTCAACGATCTTGTTCATAACTGCCGAAACAATGATCAGAGTGAAAGTGGTGGAATGATGGAAGCTTATCGAATAGGGGGTGCAATGGCTCGCGAGAATCTATCGCGGCAAGAACAAAAACTGATTGATAAAATGAAAGACGATGCCATCATCAACGTTCCTGGTACATATGATCACATACACCAAGTATTTCAGAGTCTGAATATCAAATTCAAAACTGTTGAGCAACAAGAACTCTTGAATTATCCGCTCCGAGTAGAACAGACTATCTACGTAAATTGTGCCAGTACATTTCCTGAAAATGTTGCCCGTCGTCTGAGACAATTTGTTGAAAATGGCGGACAATTAATCACAACAGATTGAGCCCTGTCAAATGTACTGCAAGTCGCATTTTCCGATTACATTCGACACAACGGTAAATCAACAGGTGATGAAGTAGTAGGAATTCAAGTCGTCGATCCGAACAATCATTTGGTTAAAGGATTTTTACAAGCATCAAAACAAGCTGAGCCTCAATGGTGGCTTGAAAGTGAGTGTAACACATTAACAGAATTTTCGGATGGAACAGAACTGGAATCATATCGCTTTGAATTTAGGTCAGCGATATGATCTCATTCGGTTTCTGAAACATAAGGCTATTAATATTCGACAATAAGATTAATTCAATTGTTTTAGGTGGTTCACATCCAATAGAAATTGTTGACAAGCAGAAAGTTCGTGTTTTGATTCGTTCGAAGATTCTCGGTCAAAAATATCAGTCGGATGCGGTTCTGGTTACATTTGATTGCGGCAAAGGTAATGTTATTCATATGATCTCACACTTCTATTTGCAAAGAACCGAAACGCGTGACGCTCGACATCAAATGTCGGCCGAACAATATGCAACCGACGTCAGTGCTTCTGATGCCATCAAAAACTTGACAAGAAACGCGTCGAATCTGAACTATGCACAAGTACAGTCATCTGCGACGTCATCTCAATTCATCTATAATCAAATTGCTGAAAGATTAACAAAATATAATCAATAACTAATCTAGAGAACCAGAACGGACATAGCGATTGGAAATACATAAAGAAGAATAAATACTGCAACAAACATAATTGTTTTATCAATAAAAAATACAACGCAAGCTTTCAGTCTGCACACTGAGATCATCAGCAGGTGTATTACATAACAAAAACAAATTTACTGTTCCTTGTTCTTCCTTCTCTTTTTCTTCCTCAGTTCATAGGCGGCGCGCCATAGTAGCGAGGGGTAGCAATTGCTACCCCTATAGAAAATTAGGGGTAGCAATAGAAAGTTATTGCTACCACTAATAACACATATTCTGGGAGTTGTTAGAAGAAGTGGGAACTGGTAGTTGCTATTATTTATTAAAATTATGAGTTTAAAAAATTTATTGCTACTCCTAGGACCTTTAACTTGCGCCGCCTATGCCTCAGGTCACTGGTTTTCTAGAGGATCTCTGAAAAACCGGTTTCCGGAATTTGACAAAAATGTTTCTGCTTATGAAAATTTAGGTTAAACTGTCCTCATTCAACTGCCGAAAACCGGAAGTCTATATCTTTTACCATCTTTGAATTATTCAAAAAACAACTACCGGCCTTGCACAACCACAAAAGGCGCAGTGGACATCTTTGGAGTATGACGAGTGAAGATCGAAGGAAAGTACGAGTTTTTTTGGTATTGAGGAGATACAATCGTTTTGATGTTCATACTATTTAATCGAAAATAAAGACGTCTAGTGTTATGATTAGGAGTTGCTAGTTTTTTAATAAGATCACGACTGCCGTGCGTATAGTTAAAGTCTCGTATTATTATCCTCGCACCCAGTCGTTGTACAGCGTCAAGAAGAGCTGTATGCGTCGTAAAATTTGAGTCATATAAAGCACAACAGTAGTCCGTTTTTGGTAGAACGCATGTTTTATACAGCAATAAGCGTATAGATCAGGAAGCGTCTCTAAACACCTGACTAATTGCTCCAAGCATGCGCCTGCAAGACAGAGCTACCTCTTTAATGTGTGCGCTCCATTTAAGATCATTTAAAAGCCGTCCACCCAGTAGTTTTGGATAAGTATCGATTTCAAGATTAGATACGTCCAGGGCACAAGATAGATTAGGCGCAATTTTTGAACGCAAGCAAAAGTAAGTCCAAGAGCATTTGTCTACGTTAAGCGACATATAATTGTCATCACACCACCTCATTATCTGATTGATTTCTGTTCGAATTAGGTTTTGTATATAATATGCTGATTGGACTTTTAAGAACGGCATCTCTTATGTTTGACCGCGTTCTTTGCTATTTTCTTCTCAAAGAATGCTTTAGAACGCATTCCTAAAAAGAACAAGTACCGAGTCACGCTTAGAACGATTTTGTGCTTCATTAGGTGGAGCAGATAAAATTCAAATAAAATGGATTCCCATTAAAAATAATAGATTCCGGTGGCTGTCTATAACTGACAAAGATGGCGGAAAAATCCTATTTCAGAAAAGACATTTATTAAACTCTTTTTAAAAAACATGAAGTCTCTTATATAAATAGACAGGCCTGACATAATATCAAGGGGGACAAAACTGACTGGAGAATTTTGAAGATTTCAAAAGATTTGGAGGGATTTTAAAGCTTCAAATTCCTTGCATAATATAGATAGAAAGGACGGGAGCTTATAAGGGTCAAAATTTTCTTTTGATATTTCTGAACAAGAGTTACATATTCAGAATCAGCGTGAAATTCTGCGTCGAATGAGGTAGTGGGCACGTTGGAAAAATCATTTTCAATTTTTCGGAAAATTTGTAGTCCCTTCCCTATCCCACCTTTGGAATATCGAAAAAAGGTTTTACTCAGACTTTTTCTAAAGATACTTTATTCGATCCAGAATCTGATGCTGATCGTGAATATCAGGTGAAAACTGGAAAATAGTTAAGTTTCGATCGAAAAAAATCGATTTCACTGACAGATTGCGTCAGCGACCTGGTTCATTAAAAACAGGCCTTTTCCCCTTGCATTTGGGTATGGAAACCTCCAAAACTCAAAAATGTCCCAGCTTCCGATATGGAATAGAAATTCGCTTCAAACTAGCGTTTAGAAAAAGTCTGAGTAAAACCTTTTTTCGATATTCCAAAGGTGGGATAGGGAAGGGACTACAAATTTTCCGAAAAATTGAAAATGTTTTTTCCAACGTGCCCACTACCTCATTCGACGCAGAATTTCACGCTGATTCTGAATATGTAACTCTTGTTCAGAAATATCAAAAGAAAATTTTGATCCTTATAAGTCCCCGTCCTTTTATTTAAAACAGAAAAAAAATTTATTTTATTGTACTTTATCAGTTTTTCTGCTCAACGCTAATATGAGTAGTGATGAACGAATAAAACAAGGTGTGATAGAACATACCTCTCTCGCATGATCGTTCTTCTTTTTGTCTCACTCTTTGTACATGTACGCATAGACAAGATAGAATATTGTCAGAGATATAGTCTTTGTCATTGTCATTGTTAGAGGTCTGCGGGACAGTCCCCGTCCCATGGAACTTTTAATAGGACCGCAATTAAGTTTTTTTGAAAATAGTCTTGTATGCAGTTAAAAAATTTCTTTGAAAAAATATTTACGGGACCACGGGACCGGGACCAAAAATGAGTTCTTTCCACGGGACCGGGACCCGGACCAAAACTTTTCTTGTTCATGGGATCGGGACCAAAAACGTTTGGTCCCGCAGACCTCTAGTCATTGTACATACTATAGTCGACCCTAGTACAATCATTCTTTTCTTCTTCTAGGACGTTTTCCATTTATATATATATATATATATGTATATGAATGTTAGACTACAGTTGAAGGACATTCGTATTCATCCATTTCTTTCGGACATTCGTCGTTTTCATTCTCTTACTATTATTACACCATTTTTTGTACACCACGTCGTTTTTCTATCAAATAAACTCCTTAAAGCTATAGTCAGATTCTGTAGCTCATATATTGCATGAGCAAGTCATGCTCTAGCAAGCTACTATTATGTAGCTGTTACAGTGAAAATTGAAATTCCACTGTAACATAGCCATTTCTATACAAAAAGGAAACAAAAAACAGTTTGTTAAATGGACCCATAGATACATTAACAAGTAGTTAAATTGACCCATAGATTAAATGATGGGAGATACACAGGATCTTTTATACCTCTGAGTCACCAAGAGTAATATGTTTAATATTTTTATAGCAACTTTTAAGATCCAGAGCATCAACAATAGTTTTTACGTTGGTAAAAATAAAATTATCATGATGTAGAGATATGATTTTGAACGATAGTGGATTTATATGTAAATAGATGCTTCGATTGCGAAAAGCTGGAACTTGTGGTGGGAGTGCAGGACGATCGAATACATATCAACAATTAATATACCAATGTTTTTCTTTTAACTGGAAATCAGTTGAGAATGATTCTAATATTCGATCTATGTTCAGTACTTCATCCTCCTCGTGCATGTATAAACTATAACATAAGAAAAAGTCAAATTTAACCATGTTCGGAAACTGTTCCAGAACTGATTTCCATGTATTTCCTGTATTTTTGTTCGCGGTAAATAACTTAAAATTAATTCCAAATAATCATATTGTCAGATGCTGTCTTTTCCCAATGACAAATGAAATTCTTTCATTTTTTGTTAGCTCTTTGTGCGGCGGACAACTTGAACAGTATTCGTAGTGTTCAGGTAAAAATTCATCACACTCACAAGCATAAATGTTTGATAGCTTAAATCACGAAGAATTTGAAAGATTAAGAATAAATTGTAAATATTCATAACACTTATTGTTAAATATTCAATACTGGTGTAGCCTATTCTTAATTTTCCACTTGGCCAGGTAAAATATCGGTTGGTAAGTGAAACTCGTTTAATGTTCGAGAGCGATTCAAATACAGAGATTCTACATTGCTCAGTGTAACTAACTATCTCCGTAGTGCATCATTTTTACAGTCGATTAAAACAAGTTTTTCAAGATTTAGCACTAAATCATTGGTGAGAATCAAATTATAAAAAATTCTCAGTTGACCTGGCGAATATCTGCTACCCGAGTGTGAGTGATTTAATACGAGAACCAATTTGAGGTAACAGATGAGTGCAGTAACGGTAGAATTAGTGGAATGTTATACGCGATAGAGTGACGTTCTGTTCGTATTCATTGACAATTGATTCAAATCGGCTGCTCAGATTCATGAACGAATTGGAAATATTATATAGCGATAAATAAGCGTATATCACTAGAAGTACCTCATTTGGTAAAGACTCTAACGTGATCATTATTTATGCTTAAGTGCGTTTTAGACTGAATGCAGAAAGAAAAAATAATTATATGAGTATTTGGTTATACTTATTATTTTTTACTCTTGCTAATGTGCTTATATATTGTTCTATTATGATTGTTTTTAACTTTTCTTTTAGATGAAAAGCAAGAGAAATAAAAAGTTCAGCGCCATGGTGATATTATTAGCATAGTCAGAGATGATGTCAAAAAAATTTGAAAAAAATTTTATTTCCAGTAAATATTTGTTTATAAACTCTTGAATCGGAGTCTATACTATTTGAAAGAAATCCTTCCAAAATGCTATCTATGCTTTACCGTTGAAACTGAACGAGTTGAAAGAGGAAATAATAAGTAAACATTACAGAGATGGTCGAGTATACACGTTCTCGAGTACGAATACCCAGTATTCTGTAGTGGAAAATCATCATGATGTCAGGTTAAGTCCAACATGCTACACTAATTATCTGACTTTACTTGAATCAACAGTATTGAATGCTGTACTTACGCTACGAAAGCTAGGGTTTGATCAACTATCGTATTTTTCTGTTTTAACAAGGAGTATTATAACACTCCAGGAGTATTATAAAGAATGATGTTCTACTATTGATTTTTAATAAAAACCTGGCTTCACTGGAAACATGCCATATTTCGGACTATTGGATGGATAATTACGATGATCTGGGTACTAGTTGTGCGGAAATTATGACTATAAGAACATACGATATTGAGAAACTAAGTTAAGTAGCGTTTACTGGAAGCGCCTGCTGGTGTGGAAACACATGAAGTAGAAACAAAAGAGGTAGGAATAGCTTTAAAAAAATACTATGATAAAACCCTTTACCTACAAAACAGTGATCTTGACAAAATAAAGTGGCAGTCTTATAATTGTAATCAAGGCAGTTGCGACCTGTCAGATTTTATGCTTTAGTGAGATTAAAAAATTTTTTCAGAGAATGCAAGGAAAATTTTTTTTCTGCTGGGAAAAATTGATTTATTTTTATGTTTTGGAGTGGTGTCGCACACCTCCTCCAGGAACGTCAGCCTCGATTGTAATTGCTTTCCTCATCAAATGTATTATGCAGATATCTGCCACTAATGATTTAAAAAGACATAAATCAGACAAGGAAATTTATAGCTGCTATGAAGACCATTGTTCGACAAGAACCATTTATTTGCTAAGCGCGCTTTCAATTACACATTTTGGTTCAAATTAAGGAAATTATAGATGTATTGGGCAGATATGTAAATATTTGTTTCATATGTTCATACGATGTTGGTCGAAAAGATAATGAAAGATAAAGAAAATAAACTGTTTTATTAAGAATCACACAAGCCGTTTTACAGCTATATGGTATGAATTTTTTTCTCTCATAAGTTTGATTTTAATTTGTTTCTCTATCGTTGATCTCTAATGCACTCCTACTATCCTAGAAGTTCTTGAGTACGTACTATTAGATTAGAATGAAATGAAGTATCTGTTTCCTATATGCACGAATGGAGCTACCATCATAGCATAATAAGCTTTTAGAGAATGAAACAAAAACTATCAAAAAATGTGCCTCATAGTTATATACGTAACATGCATTTTTTCCTTTCTTCTTAAATAACTTTGACTCAACGTTAGTATTTCGACGATAAAGGTGCTCTTCATAGTACATGATAACTCACAAATGATACAATCGTTTAATCAAAACATCCACTTTATATTATATGAATACATTGCTAAAGAAGCGTTATTATCTATTATCAAAATAGTAACGATAGGTGAGCGCACAATAATGATCTGTTTTTCGACTAGAGACGCCGTAATATAATGTTGTATAGGATTTCGACGGTAGGTTAGTTTTGTCAGTATCGGAAGATGTGAGAAGAAAATATCTTGTTATATTTGTTATATATAAGAAAAAATTATTATTGACATTATGCTATGTTGCTCTTTATCATCGAAATACTAACGCTGAGTCAAAGTTATTTAAGAAAGGAAAAATGCATGTTACATATATAACTAAAAGGCACATTTTTTTGATAGTTTTATTTCATTCTCTAAAAGCTTATTATGCTGTGATGGTAGCTCCATTCGTGCATATAGGAAACAGATACTTCATTTCATTCTAATCTAATAATACGTACTCATGAACTTCTAGGATAGTAGGAGCAGTATGTGTTGAGTACTGCATCATATGTAGATTAAAACACATCCAAGCTTTTAGATGGAAGATAACAATGCCTAGTGGTGACATATTAGATCGTTCGTTTTATCCACCGCTATCATCGGATATTTTATCATGGATTCGTGAATTTACGCCCGGTCCACTTACTCCTGATGAATTAAATCAATTCTATGAAGATGGTTTCGTTCTAAAACCCAACTTATTAACAAAAGAACAACTGGATTCTGTTATAAATGGCCTCGAAAGACTTGTTGACGAATTAGCCCAGGAATTATTCAAAGCAGTAAGTAGAAAGTTTTAATCAATCATTAATAAACTTGACATAACTCTTTTCGATGTAGGGTAAAATAAATGATTTATGTGAGAATATCGGTTTTTATCAACGTTTAACGGCAATTGAATCACAGTTTCCAGCGGCATCTGTTTTACTTCATAAACGTGGTATACTACCAGCAGAAATAGCAGCGCTTTGGTCATGTGATGCACTACTAGGTGTCGCTAAGCAACTATTAGGAACAGAAATTGCTGGGCATCCAGTATGGAATATACGAACAAAAGTAAGAGATATTCTACTATGCAAGTTCTTCTTACATTTTATTCATTTGTACAGGTACCTCATCAAGAACAAGCAACTGTACCTTGGCATCAGGACACTGCATGTATTATCGTGTAGTCTAATATTTATTCTAATAAATTACTTTCAAACTTTTTAGACTTGAATCCTGAATGCTGGAAAACTCTTCAAGTGACAGCATGGATTCCACTATTAGATGCTAATTTAGAAAATGGTAAATATTCTTACATTTGCATGTCTATCCTTCTTTGTTCTCATTTCATTTGTCATTTTTCATCTACAGGCTGTATGCAATTGTTGCGTGGAGGACATCGTCCTGGTGTAACATGTGCTCATAATTGTTGTGCCGGTGGTACTTGGTACGTTGAATTGCCAGAAGAAAATATGAGCAAAACATTAGGCATACCAGTGAATGAGAAAAGTGTTATTACATGTGAGGTACCATTTGGTTCAGTATTATTTTTAAATAATTTAATTCCACATAAATCATTGGAAAACTATAGTAACAACATACGATGGAGTTTAGATTTAAGATGGTACGTATGATTTTTTTCAATTCACCGTTATTGAAGAAGAGTTAAAAATCGTTTGTGATGACATATGCTTGATATGTTGTAAAAATATCTTTCTAGGCAAAAACCGAATGAACCAAATGGATTTTATGGTTTAAAAGAGAATATTGTAATGGCAAAAGGTTCTGATTTGAATTATAAACCAGATTGGAATGAATGGTCAAAGATAAATCGTTCTAAATTACAAGAAGCTGCTGTACAACAACATATCAAAGATCAAATACCCGAATTAAAAAATAAAGTTGAAAGTGATCCATTCGATACGACAATAGCTGGACCATGGATGAATAATTGGCCTATCGTACATCATAATCGGCATACAGCTGCATTAACAACAAATGAAACGAATTGGCATAAGTCCTAAACGATGTTTTTATTCTACATTTAATTACATTGTCACACTATTATCATTCTAGCTAAGACCTACTGTTATTTAATTAAATCACTATTGCAGTTTCATGTCCAAGTTGTATGAGTGATGAATAGATCTTTCTAAGCGAAAATACACCGTTCTTTCACATAGAGTTGCACAGTTTTTTGTCGAAGTCAATCTCATCAAATGGCTGTACAAAAATATGCTGACTAATTTTTTACACTTTAGTCACACCTAAAGGCCAATTGTCAGAATTCTTAAACAGAACACGATCACACATTTCACGAAAAATTGATTATCGTTTACAATTAACATTTTTTCATTAAAATGTCCCGTCATCCACTACAATACTAAAGATAAAACTTTGTCTTTTAATGACATTTTTGCCTGTTTCATATGCCCAGGTCAAAGGATCCTAGAGTAAGATCCTGGCTGATCTTATATGATCCTATGAAATCATATAGGATCTTATAGGAAAGACGTCTGCCATCTTAAAGCAAGAAATGGCGTAGGATTCCTATTATAGGATCCTATAAGATCCTATAGTAGGAACTTATAAGATCATACAAGATCTAATATGATCTTATTATAGGATTTGATAGGATTTTACATGATCAGCTAGGATATTATAGGATTGCACCGATTTTGACGCTTCCTTACTCTTGTTTCTATTTTCTTCTGCTATGTTCTCCGTTGTTTATCTGATGTTTCTGGCCGTTATTGTCAAATGTATTTCTTTATTGATCTCTAGTTTAATGTAGTACATAGAAAAAGCACTCTTTTGAGTCACATTCTGTAGAGCAGTGTCGTATCGCTTCTATTAAGGAGGGGTTCCCCCCATTTAGATTTTTCTCTAGCGTTCCCAGTTTGTAGAGGACACTTCGAAGTATATGTCCTGAAGTTTTTTCGGCTTACTGACGTTATTTGGCTGAGAAAAAAATTAATTACTTAAAAAAATG